GGTTAAGAGTTATCACTGGTAGAAGCGTCTCAAGTCAAACCTTGCTCACAGGAGGGAATAAACCCATCAGGAGCAACATCTTTGAATCATGAGTATGTTAATGCGTGTATAATGGCAACGACCTTCTCCACTGAACACCGTATGAATAGATCGTCGCTTAACCAATGAGTAATATGGCATAAACAAATTAAGAGTGGTGTCATATGACTTCACAGTCAAGTAACCAGAATATAATTAGTTTGATTTAATCTGGAAAGCAAATTCATTATTGCCAAGACAGTGATTCAGTGCTCTGTGCTAAATGAACTAGATGTGGATGTTTAACAGTCAATTTGCACCATGTGTTTTGTAAAAAAAAAAAAAGAAAAAAGATCCAACTAGGGTTGTGAGGAAACTCTTTAACATTTCAAAACTAAATGGGAACTCTTGGGTTTTTAAAAAAACAAATAAATAGAAGTGTTTTGTAGTCATAGCAAGAGTTAGAGTAATACTCCATGTAAAGTAACCCTGTCTTTGTAGTAGATTTATATCTGTCACCACTAGTTCACAATCTTCCTTGCTACATCTAAGATACTAATGATTTGAGTGCCATGTGGAATAACTTAATGAACTACACATGTTTAGTGGAATTACTTTCATTACCAGTCTTGATGCATTTCAGAGTCTCTTATAGAAGCTCTCCACTATTAAACTTACTGTGAAAATGTATTGAAAAATCCAACAAAACATTTAACATTTATGCTGCCTTACTAGAACATAACAATAAAATTTCTTAAATTTGTATAGCTTTTTACATTTTTATCATGTTCACATGTCTGCTCATTTAGTCTCACATGGACATAGCCTAGGTAGGGGGAGATGAAATTACACCCATTTACACATGAGGCAACTGAGACTCAGACATAATGTTCCCCGTTTATGGTCACTCTGCCAAGAGGAAATAAAAAGAGGAATAGAAGTCAACTTGTCTGATTTTAAGTGAAAGGTCTCTATAAATTCTTACATTGCTTGTTTTCTGTGGAACTAAATATGGTTTTTACTCATCCAAATAAATTACTGAAAAGTCTTTATGAAAAGACATCTAAACATCATTTGAGATTGATAATGGCTATGAATAGTTCAAAGCATAGAGTTTATGTATTTCCTGAAATGTTTCTAAACCTTCAGTTTGAATTCCCAATGTATACTCTAGCATCATGTCAAAACTATTCTTAGGTAAGCTTGATTCCCATTTTCAAAAATTGATGTCACCTTATAGGTTCTAAGAGGTTGGTGGTTTGTTTATTCAGGGCAAAGCCAAATGTTTTGATCTATAAAATAGACCTGCAGATCTTGTGAGAGCAGCTTTTTCGAGGAGATTTCAGAGTTAGACCATCTCATTCCCATCAGTTAGATACTTTAGAGAAGATAAATGAAAAGCAGTCTGTAACTAAGAACAAATTTGAACTTGGCAAAAAGTAATATTTTATGGTCAGTAACTGAGATGATTTGAATTTGAAGACACAATTACATAAAAACAACCAGATACTGGGGCAGATTGACTAGAAGACACTTTGTATTAATGTTTTCAGATTTTTCCAAGGCATCCTTGGTATGATTCCGTTGAGTTTAATAGAAGTTGCATGTTTAAAGCAAGCAGTCTATAAAAATTCAATAATGGGCTATAAAAACCATTATAGCTCTTCTGTCAGTTGAATGAAATATACTTGATGGTTTCAACTTAGAGCTCAGAAAATCACATGCTGAAGAAGAGACGAATCGAAATTGTTTTATGACAGTGTGCCATTATTTAATTACTAACACTTGATATGTATATAATAGAGCTTGAATAAAAGAATTGAAGTATTTTTGACAATTAGATACAGGAGTAGATATAATTATTTTTAGAATTCTCTGATACCTATAAAAATCCTCACAATCCAGGTACAATATAAGTGACAAATATTAGCATTATTAGCCTAAAATTATTAGCATAATTTTTCTTCTTATTACATATCTTTTGTATTCTATAACTAGTGATATCATTTAATTTAATATCCAGGGCATATTTTCAAAATACAAATTCATAGGTCAATATTCAGCCATTCTGAATTAGAATTTCCAGGGCTGAAGCTTGTAATTTTTATTAAAAAGGAGAAAAAAGTGTTTTTAGGGGAGTCCAATAATCAGCTTGGTTTGGGGATTCATTGGGTAATTTACTGATAATTTTTTGTTCTCTATTTTGACTCCGTTTTGTCTCCCCTAGACTTTTCAATTTTACTCAGTAATGATTCCCCAAGGACCCCATTTTCATTGATAATTCTTATTGTCTGATCCCCTTGACTCTCCCACATTTTGTTCACTGTTGCTTCCCTCAGGCTCTTAAGCTTTCTTCCACTATCAGAATCTTGCTTGTTCATCCTCACTGTCATTCTCTCTTTCTCATATCATTTTCTTTACCAATTTTGAGTTTTACAAAGCTCCTTATAAGAACTACTCAGGATTGGCCGGGCGCGGTGGCTCAAGTTTGTAATCCCAGCACTTTGGGAGGCCGAGACGGGCGGATCACTAGGTCAGGAGATCGAGACCATCCTGGCTAATCCGGTGAAACCTCGTCTCTACTAAAAAAAAAAATACCCAAAAAATAAAAAAACTAGCCGGGAGAGGTTGGGGCCTGTAGTCCCAGCTACTCGGGAGGCTGAGGCAGGAGAAGTGGCGTAAACCGGGAGCGGAGCTTGCAGTGAGCTGAGATCCGACCACTGCACTCCAGCCTGGGCGAAAGAGCGAGACTCCATCTCAAAAAAAAAAAAAAAAAAAAAAAAGACACTTCAGGATTTCTCCACTTTTTCTACCTAGACTTGTAACTTGAGTGTACATGGAACTAAAAGCAAAAAACACCAAGGCCCAAGTTCCCATTTCTGAGAAATATTCCTAAACAGATAAAAATATGCACAATGATTCATCCACTCATTCATGTTCCAATGTGTTTCTGGGTCTCATACGATATCTTTGGTATTGTACTACATTCTGGGGATTCAGCAATAAACAAGATACACACAGTTCTTGTCCTCCTGGAAACTCTATTCTATTAATAAAGACAAAAACAATTCATTAAGCAAATAATTTCAGATAGCAGTAAGTGCTTTGAAGAAATGTACTGAAAGGTAAGATGTTCATGTCAGCAGAATGAAAATGGCCAAAAATTGAGAAAAGTTTGAATAAATAATGGTGAATCAACCCGAGGGAATATTATTCAGTTACTGAAAGTTGTAAATATCAAGACTTTGCCACTAAACCTGGAAAATATTTGTGGTGCAATAGTCAGTTAAAAATATAGGGTAAATTATATATCATTATATCTCTGCAAAACATATAGAGAAGAAAACAAAATTGGAAAAAAGTCCGTTTTTGAGATCATATAGTCTTCATAATTGCAATGTTATTTTGGATTAATCTATTAAAGAGCATGAAATTTGAAAAATATAGTTTATTTAATGTCTTGTTAAGCAGAAGAGTTCTATTACCTGGTTCATCTATACACTACAGCACTTGATTTTCCATAATGATAAACTTGAGGCTTTGAAGTACATCTTAAGTCATCAAGGAAAAGATAATACTTTACTTCAGTCTAATTTTGTGCTAAGTATACATTATTGTGGTTTAATTTTTCATAATCAGTGATATATGCATGGAATTAAGTAGGGTAATAATCTATTAACCAGAATATTTTATTAACCAGAACACATCATTTCCCGATACCCTAGATAAGAGAGTTATTTATAGGCAAAAATAAATAAATTAAACCTCACGTTCTGACTGCTTTTTGTTAACCTTCAGTTTCTTAGGGGATGTTAGTTCTACATTAGAATCCTGCAAAGGTATCTGGAGAGGCATAGAAATCTGTCTCTCTCTTTATTTCACTTCTAAGTAACAGACAGTTATTGAGTGAGTGCTCTTTTCCTGTTACTGGAAATTGAGAATTGGAAATTGTTAAATATATTTTAAATATTTTTTTGTCTGAACATACATCAGTTCATTCCAAACATACAGCATTTTTGTAGACTATGATATCAGTGATTATAAAGATGCATTGCTGAATTAAATACAGAATTTGTGGAGGAAAATCAATAATTATATTAAATGTCTATTGAAATTTTTAGTCACATCTCAATTTTAAAAAATTAAAATGTGATTTAGAATCAAAGAAATATGATACATATTCTGGAGAGTGTTCCAAAATTTGTCTGCAGATGATTCAGCTATAATAAAATTCCAGCACTGATTCTGGACTGATACTGGAAGGTAGCTGTGGCACAGGACAGGACCCTAAATAGTGATCTATGAACCACTCCATTCCGAGGCAGACATTTTACCAATGTGTGGTGAAATGACAAAAAAAGGGGGGAATACTCAACTTTTCACAACAATAAATTTATTTAAAGAGTAAAATGTCCTTTCTTTTGTGAACTGATGATGACTGGAGGCAGGCTTTTTTTGTTTGCATTTTAATGTTCTTGGCAAAAGAAACATTGGTGATGCTATGGTGGCCTCCCACATATTTTGGAGAAGTTTTCGAATCCATGGATGAAGATAAGTGGTCTGGTGGGAAGAGCAGTGAACTTATTGTCAGGAGGACTGGGATTACTTTGGCTCTGTCAATTAATAGCTATGTGTTCTTGAGCATGTATAAGTCTCAATTCCTTCATTTGTGAAATAGGTCTAGTACCAAGTGCATAGGCAATACTGCATTCATGACATAACTTCTAGTTTCTCACATGTATTCCTGCTCCGTAAATACAACTAGTTACTTTGGTTGACTGTGTCTTGTTAACTATGTTGTTTAATTTCAGTTTTGAGAGAGGTTAGTCAGCCACCCAGTGCTAACTTCTCTTTAAACCTCGAAGTTCCATTTGTGCCCGTAAGCAATCCTCAGTGTACCTTCTTGACCTTCTGCAACAATACTGTATCATATCATTACCACTTTCTTATCTCATCTGAACTCTGTCATTTGATTCTTTCAGTGGCACAATGGACTTCAGTGACCACTAACCAACATGGATTACAGCGTGAGCATGTGGTACAGAAACCACAAGTTGTCAAACCTGCAAATCATAATTTGGTCAGTAAGAATCTAGGATCCTGAAGAAGACATGAAGAGAAATGACTCTTTAAAATTGAAGTAGGAGCAATCATTACCTCTATCATTTTGAACCAAAAAGGTCTTACTCTATGTAATGTTAGTGCAAAAGATGAAAATCGGTGAGTTCAACAATATTTTTATTGGAATAAATTTTCTTGTGGAATGTCAATTTATTTTTGAGTATGCAATCTTGCCAAATCGAAAACTCTCATATATAGTTCTTTTAAACTTGATCTCTTGGCATGTCAAGCATTCTCATATTACTCTTTTAAAATAAGATCTCTACCTAATACTGGAAGCATTTATCTCAAATTCAGTATTTAAATTACTACTTTGAATGACTGCTGAAATTAATCTAATATCAAGTCTATATACCTTTATAATTTTTTTTATTTTGACAACATGGTTTCATAAGCTATGATTAGTTCAGGGATTTTGTGGGCGTAATGTACAAGATAAGCAGGGAGAAAAGTTTTTTGACTTATCAAAGCCACATTTTGAGAAGTAAGGAAATGCAGCTTTCTTGACTGGCATCTCCATAATTATTTGCACAATTTTCTGAACTGTTTGACAAGTTCTCATTTGTCTTTAAAATAAAAGGACTATAGGGAGAACACCCTCAGACCTTCGAGGTATTTAAAAAATCTTTCATGAATAAACACTACTTCAGCCAGAGGGGAAGAATTGACACCTTTTGAATTTTTAGATCATATCGTAATGCTACTACTCCAAATCCAACAAAATTTTGGCTCTAAGGGACATTTTGACATCGTTCTTACACACTCTGAATTAACATTTAAATATTTATGCAATGTTTCAGTCTAGAAGAGGAACTGTAAGACTTCCCTGAATGAGAGGTTAAGCAAAGGTTATGATGTTACAAATTAGAACTAAATAGGACACTGATACTGAGAAACTGGGATCCTGTTAGTTAGACTAATAATGAATCAAGTCAATGAGACAAAAGGTCCCTCAAGGTGAGGTTTGCTAAAGTCTGAATATAAATGGCCATATTATTATTAATGCATCCATTCATAAAAATGCTATAATACTAGTTTATGGCACAGAAAAGATAGAATATGAGTCACTGTGAAAGTGTGAATAAAAAAGAATTATTCATGCTTCTCAATTCAAACAAAGTTTAATAAAGGGGTAAAGAAGTTTGAGTGTGCCTAATTTGTAATATATTTCTCTATCTTTTCCTTACTGAATAAGGGTTTTACATTATTTTTTATTTTCAATGAGGGGTAATCATATCAGTTTATTTTAAAAGAAAACATAAAAATAGTTCAACAATTCCAGGACCTATTTGGAACATTGCATTGTAACATATCCTTTTTTATTAACTGTTCTCACTCTCGTGGTACATTTCTCCTGATACACTCTGAAAGAATAAAATAGTGAGAATGACTATAATGATGTTTTTGTTCTTCCACCCAAAGTTTTTATCCTTGCTCTTAAGTGTAAGTGAAAATGAACTACTTTCCCAACCTATACTTTTGGAGACATCTCAGAGTTATACAGAATTAAATTTGAACGTTGATATGGTTTGGATCTGTGTTTCCTCCCAAATCTCATGTTGAATTGTAATCCCCAACGTTGGAGGTGCAGTTTGGGTGGGAGGTGATTGGATCATCGGGGCAAATTTCCCCTGAGTGATGTTCTCATGCTAGTGAGTGAGTTGTCATGAGGTCTGGTTGTCTGAAGTGTGTGGCGCCTCCACTCCCTTCCTCCTGCTTTGGCTATGTACGTTGTGTCTGCTTCCTTTCCTCTTTCTGCCATGATTCAGTTTCCCGAGGTCTTCACAGAAGCCACTATGCTTCCTGTACAGTCTGCAGAACTGTGAGCCAATGAAAACTCTTTTTTTTATAAATTATCCAGTCTCAGGTATTTCTTTATGGCAATGTGAGAGCGGACTGATACAAACATTTTAATCACTTTGTTTCGTTTGTTTTTTAGAGACAGAGTCTCACTCTGTTGTCCAGACTGGAGTGCAGTGGCTCGGTCATGACCCACTGCACCCTTGAACTCCTGGGCCCAGGCAATCCTCCCACCTCAGCCTCTCAAGTAGCAAGGACAACAGGTGCATGCTACTAAACTTAGCTAACTTTTAAATTGTGTGTGTTGATGGGCTTGCCATGTTGCCAGGGTGGTCTCAAACTCCTGACCTCAAGAGAGCCTCCTGCCTTTGCCTCTCAAAGTGCTGGGATTACAGGTGTGAGCCACTGTGCCTGGCCCTTTATCAAATTTAAATATATCTTTATTATTTTGTTTCATATCCATATTTGAAAGATTATCATTTTGTGCAATTTATCTTTGTAGAAATGATATACGATGATCAAATGTGTTGGAAGTTAAAGGTCTTCTACTAAGTTTGGAGCCAAAGTAAAAAGCTGGTTGTTGAAATGACCATCTTCACCTTAAGTGTATTGAGTGAAATAATTTTATATGAAACTTAAAATAAAAACAAACCTATCTTGACCTCAAATTTGGTTATCTTTCTCTGCGATGCTGTAAGAAGTCATACTGTGCTGAGAATGATATTGTTGCAGTAACATTTAATGTTGTTTATTGAAACTTGAAGTTTAAAAATTGAATTAGATTCACATTGTTCTGCTTTGGTAAACTCCATCTGGAATCTGATGCCAATAAAATTTCTACAAATACTCATTTATGCTTTCTGATGTTTTAGTAGATAAGCCTGGACACACATAAATTTTAATATACTACATATCAATTATTTGTCTCACTCTTTCTAAAACAAAAAATTTAGATATATTTAGGCCCAATGAGAATATGCATGTGAATGAACAGTGTAACCGAGGTGAGCACTATAAATATTCACCATGTATTTATTTGTATTCATTTTGAGCTAGGTTCTGCATTATGTAAATATAATAGTGTACTAAGCAGATGAGGTTTCTGACTTCATGGAGTATACTATCAAAAATTATAATGGGGAACTTTATTAGTAATAAATAATTTATTCTGAAACTAGTCAAAAATATTGTAAACACTTTTATGATAATGGATCTTTTAAATTTTATCTCTCCAGTGTCCTACTCAAAGTCTTCAGATTTTGAAAGTCTTTGGATTCTCCATGTTAAGAAATAAAAGTTCCCATGAAAAATTAGTAAAATGCATATACTAATAATGATCAAATTTCTAATGATGTTACCATAACCGTTTTCACACATTGAATTTAAATTGATGAAGTATTTTCTTTGACAAATATGTTTTAAGCATTTTGGAATTGTTCATAAACTTTGGCAGAATGTCCCAGATTGGACACCATATACCATACAATTGGACACAATACAAGCTAGGAATTGCTTATATCTTCTCGGATTCCTTGTTGAATTGGCCCTGGTCTTTATTAGTCTGAGAATTTAGAATTTTCAGAACTCTTTTTTAGAGATACGGTTTGTCTTTCCTCACATTCCTTCACTTCTCAAGCGCCCCTCCACACCCGCCACTGACTGGCTTCTGACTTAAACACTCCACGCATAATCCAGGTATATAATCCAATCTAAAGGGACATTTTCACTCTTCATGAACCAGCTTTAGGATTTGATACAACTGACAATCCCTAACTTCTTGAAAACTTCTCTTTATTTGAGTCTTACAGGATTTTCTCCCATTTATCATGTTCTTCCTTCTGTTCTTCTTTCTCCTTATTTCTCATCCTATCCATGAATAATAAGATTTTTTTCCCCCAAAAGACTCACCTTTGATCCACTTCTATTCACAACATGTATGCTCTCCTTAGTAACTCTAATTTGCACTTATCAAACACAATTTACAATTCTGGAGGACTCCCAAATCAACATTTCTCATCCTCCTGGCACCAGACCCATATTCCCCACTGCTTTCTGCATATATTCATATGGAAATTGTGCAGGTGCTTATCTATAGCTAAACTCTGGGCACCGAATCTCCTTACCTCCTACAAACATACCCAAACATGCACATAGACAACCAAAACTTGTTTCTCTTCTGTATTCTTAATCTTTCCTATAGGAATTAGTATTAAATTATACTTGACTTCTCATTCTCTCTAACTCCCTGACCCAATTTATCACAAGGACCAGTTGGAACTATCTTTTATATCTGCTATTTACTCTACATCTTCTCTAATTTAGTTTATCTGCTTCCTTTCTTCATTTCACAAACCTTAAACTCTGTATTAGTTTGCTAGAGAAGCCATAACAAGGTACCACAAGCTAGGTGGCTTGAACAACAGAAATGTATTGTCTCACAGTTCTGGAGGCTAAAAGGTTTGAAATCAGGGTTTTGGGAGAGTTGGTTCCTTCTGAGGCCTGTGATAGCCATCTTCTCCCTATATTTCTTCATCTTCCCTCGACTGGATGTCTATCTCTTTGTCCAAATGTCCCCTTTTTATAAGAACACTATTGCTGTTGGATTGGGGCCCTCCCTAATGATCTCACTTTAATTGTATTACTTTTATTAAATACCTTCTCTCAATAAGGTCATATTCTGAGATCTCAAGTGTTAGGATTGTCTCTCTCTTTTTCTCTCTCTCTCTCTCTCTCTCACACACACACACACACAAACACAGATGCATGCATGTGTGTGTATGTATTTTAGAGGATGCAAGTCAACCCATAAGAAGCTCCTACTATGTGTCAAGCACCGTTGTAGATGCCAAGGACACCATGTGTTGGGAGAGACTGCTATTTCATGGAGCTTAAAATTCAGGTATTGGGGATTTGTCTCTCTCCATGAATTGGGAGAGACAGATGACACATTATCCTTAAAAATGAACAAAATAATTTAAGCTGGTGTTAAGTGATATGGCTAAAATAAAACAAGGGGATAGTGTCTCTGTTTTTGGAATTCTATAGTAACTTTCCACCTCTCCTTGTCCCCCTCACTCTCTCCACTCTGTGACATTGCCTTTGTAGCTCAGTCATAGCATTTAGAACTTGAACTATAAGTTACCTGTGTACATGTCTGTCTTTAAAATCACTGAGCTCCCGAAGGGCTCATGCCTGTATCCCCAGGACATGCATAAAGCCTGGCATGTAATGGGTTTCCATTAAATGTTTGTTGAATGAATTTATTTTCTAATCATTACTCTGTGACATGCAGCAAACTCAAATAGGAATAAAAACCATGAAAGCAATACTCTTTAAAGAATGATGCTTTTTTTGTGTGTTGTGCACTGTAAATGTAAGAGTGGTAAATAAGGAGGAGCCCCTCTGGTCTAGATATCTGTACACATAAAGGATTTATTAGCTCAGGGCTTTACGATGATAAGAGAATAGATGAACTCACACTGCAGAATAAAAACAGTGGAATAATGTTAGTTACCTGTATAGTTACTTATTTATTAAATAAATACACTGTCAAGCTCTTATATGATTGTCTGTGTTTTCCTCATGAGGTATTGGTAGGAAACTTAGCCAGGAGTGGTTGAGTCAAATATTGTCTCTCCTGTAGTCCAGCCCTTATTTTTCTTTTTGGGTTGTTCTGGTACTCATGGGCATCCTCGGTATGTCAAGCACAATTTGGTCCTGCTATGTCAGTGACAGTAGTCTCCCCTTCTCCACAGTTTCACTTTCTGCAGTTCCAGTTACCCGAGGTCACCCATGGTCCTAAAGTTGGTGAGTATACTATGAATATACTACAGTAAGATATTTTGAGAGAAAGAGAGAGGGACCACATTCACGTAACTTTTGTTATAGTATATTGTTATAATTGTGCTATTTTATTATTATTGTTATTAATCTCTTACTGTGCCTAATTTATAAATTAAACTTTATCATAGGTATGTATGTATAGGAAACATCATGGTATATGTAAACTGTGGTACTATCTGTGGCTTCAGGCATCCACTCAGGGTCTTGAAAGTTATCCCCTGAGGGTAAGGGTTGGGGGGTGGCTACTAAACAAAATTTTCTCAAAATGTTTTCATGTATCTGCTTAAAGTTTACTCTTGGCACATGATTTTTTATTAATGACATTTCCAAGTAGTCTGTTTCTTTCTAGTAAGGGCCGTTATTTGAATATCAGGATTGGTTTTGGTGCCTCTTCACTGTGTCCTTATCTGACCTTTTTTTGGTGGCGAATGGGATATAATTAGAACAGCTGGAAAAGTAATCAAAGGAACTTCCACCCAAGGGTTAAGCTGAAAAGTACAACTCCTTTGGGCAAAAATTTGAGCTCCAAGGCAATGTCTATGTCTGCCTAAATGTCATAGAGCCTCTCTGTCCAAGTATTGCCTGGTCTCACCCCAGATGACAGTGTCTGCCTTTCCTCCTCACGGGATTACTAAATGATAGATGCAAAAGTACTTAGAACAGTTAAAAGTGTTATGTAAATATTAATAGGAATATGACTATGATGACTTATCTAGGACCAAAAGACTATATATAATGAGCTAGGTTGAAGACAGAGCATGATTTGAATTTCTGCTGTGAGAGACTCTTTGTCCTGAGTTTGTATATTTTAAAAATGGAGAAGAGGAATATGATTTATTTATTTATTTATTTTTTTAAGCCACCCCCTGACAACCTTGTTTCTGAATGTTTTTTGATACACAACCAGAGGAAGGAGTAGCATGAAACTAGAGTAGAGATGTGGCATGGAGACTGGGGACACGAAGCCAGGCAGAGGAAGCTGACATAGTGGAGAGAAGGAAGAGACAGAAATGATGAGAGAGCAGAATAAAAAGTGGTTAAAACCTTGGAGGTTGTAGGCTGATGGGGTCTGAGGTGGCTGCAGTTTACAGAAGAAATGGGTTTGGGGAAAAGGGATTTGATTAGGTGTTTTTGTAAGTAAAAATTGGATTACCTTTAATGTCCCTTTGAAGTCTGAATTAAATATTGGATTTCCTTTTTAATTATATGAGAGCTGGATTTTGCTCCCTTGACTTCTTTTCCACGCATGGACTGTACAATGTGGTGGTTGCATTTCATTTTTTTGGTTTCAGATAAATAGGTAAGTACAGAATAAGTCTTTTTCTAAGAATTCAAATGTAGAGAGTTTGGCATTTGAATTTTTCAATTTCAACTTACCTGTATTACTAAGCTCTAACATGTGGTAGTCACTTTTAGATAATAATTGAAGTAAAACAGGAAATATTGAGATTAGGACTCTAAGAGTAACTGGTATTTCCATCATGTCTATTTAATGAGAAGTACCAAGTAAAGAAATATGTAGATGGAAATTCAGAGCTTTGGGAGAAACATTCCTGCTTCCAGGCCACCGGGGTGTCATTTAGTAAATTGCTTCTCCAGCACTCTGACTGGAGTTGCCAAATTTCTATGAATTTAGGATTCAAGTCAGAAGAGGAATCCAATCTATTTCAATTATTAGCCTAAATGGTGTGTCTGGCTGCGTCCTTGTGACGAGTGGGTTCATTTATGCTGAATGCCACCTATGAAAATTGGTCTTGGTTCACTGCCTGTATCTGCAGGTCCAATCTCTAATGTGTGGAAGTCCTCCAATCTTGTTTTCAATCTGAAAATCATATACTGTGATTTTTTAAAGTAGTAGTGCCTTTCCTGAGACAGAAATACGGATGTGTCCATGAAGATGGTGTGAAACACGTATGTGTTGAATTGAAGAGCGTTTTGCCCTTCATCTCTCTCTTCCTTAGACATAAAGACACCACATTCCTCACATTACTTTTTTTTTTTTTTTTTGGCTATAACCAGTTTTAGCCACTGATAAATGTAATTAAATGTTGCTGGAGCAGTAACACATTTTGATATTTTCATCAGAATTGCCTAAATCTGAATTAGTTGATCAAAATAGCTTGCATAAGTCGGAGTCCTCAGGAAATGAGGAGGGGGCGAAGTGTCTGAGAAAGAGGAGGTGAGCAGAAGGGCCAGCGGAACAGGAGAGAGAGGGAAGGAGAATCAGGGAAAGAATGGCTGTGGGGAGTTAGTGAGGGGGCAGGGTGAGAAAAAGGAGCTCTTTCAAAACCAGATCTGAGATCAATGTTTTCCTAAACAAGTGAGTAGAAAAGAATCCAGCATGTGTGTGTGTGTGTGTGTGTGTGTGTGTGTGTGTATAGCCAGCATATATATATATATATTTTACATTAACTATGCAAAGATTTTCTTTATTACACGACTACAAAGAGTTTTAGTACAAACTTTTCTGTTGATGATAATTAGGTTGTTTCCAGATAATAACAAAGTAGAAACCAAAGGAAAAAAAAAGGAGAGAGAGAGAGAAATCCTTGGATTGCATCCTTACTACATGTAGAGGTAGATTTTGAAGAATTCATTTCAGTAATTCTTCAAATTTATAAAACATGTCTGAAACTGGTTTCTGATGGTTTAGTAGAAAGAATGATAAAACAAAACATTTATTATCTGTTTTATTCATTCAGGGTTCATTTTATTCATATAGAAATGCAATGTTAAGCTCTGATATTCCTATTGAAAATAGAATCTTAGAATGCATGGGAAGAAGACCCTAAGCATTTTATTTAATTTGATCTGAAATCCATATGCTGTCACTTAGAGACATCAAGTCTAAGAACCTGGTGGGTATAAAATGTGCTCCGCATGGTTCTATTTAGAAAGATGCCTCAAATGTGAGTTTTCACAAGTTCCACAAAACACATTTTCACACCAAATTTGATACAGACATGTATTACGACATCTCCCTATTGCCATTTGAATATAGAATGGAAAAGTTTCCCTTGAGTTTGCAAGTGTGTTTCAAGTATAGGTAGAGGAAAGTACAAGCTGTGTTAACATCTGCCACTTGAAGCTGCATTGTGGCATTTAGACTTTGAAAGAGATGGTGTTAAAAAATCTGTTTTTCCTTAATGTAGATCCAGTGGAGTTTTACATATACAAAAGAGAGTCTCTGATGGGTTCTGTCATTAATTTGCAAATTACAAATGACTTCATCTATGCATATACTCCTATTTTCTCTGCCATGAGTCACATTGTACACGTATTTTAACTTACATGTGTTAAAGTGTGCGGGCAGTCTCGGTGGTTCCGGGACTTTCGGTTGAGTGCTGGCGTAGTGGGGGAGAGCCCAGCCTGGCGCATGTGTTCACATGCACACTCAGGAGCACACACTAACATGTCCTCACTGCTCTGTAGAGACTGGTATGGACATTTCTTATGCAAACCACACTCAGGCGTTACCTAAACATGTTATATGGTTTAGATTGCGTGAGAAAGCACTAATTTAAGTTTTTGGTTTTTATCTTGAGAAAAGGTAACATATTGTAAATTCACATAAAGATACTATTCAGGATAGTGGCAGCCCTGGGTGAATGAGGACACATTTTACTCTTCTTTTTACATTTCTGTTTTACTTGTTTTATTTTTAAAGTATTTTAATTTTGTATTTTCTATATTAAAAGGCAAGAAATGTATATACGTAAAGTTCCTTAATATTGCTAGACATTTAATACATTTTTCTGGAAATCCTGAAATGAGACTTCTCTAGGAGCTGCAATAGAAGCCTGTTTTGTGGAAAAATGAGCTTGTTTGAACAATATACATGTGAATTTTAGATTAACACAGATTGCACGTGTAAGCAATACCCCCTGATGTGGGGTTCTAAAAGATGTAGACATGATTACACTGTTCCATTGATACCAGATTTTGACTTAAGCCATTCAGAGTTGAGTGTACATGTGGATGCAAAGCATGTGATTGTGTCATGCATGGGCAGGTGCCTGTGAAATCACGAAGCTCTCTAAGGCATACTGGAGGAGAGGTACATCTGTTGCAATGTCTAAGGTTTCTCCAATTACATCTTGGTTAAATAGTCAGTCATTCAGCAAGTATTAATTTAGCATTCATCGGATATCTGGGGAAGAAGAACTTGCTGGCCTTGATCCAGATCTTTTTCCTGGGCTCACACTGTGCATTTCCTAGCGTTGTCAGTAACCACATTTCCCTCAAGATGGCCAGATGAGCATGCTGTCTGGCCAGCCAGCAGCTGTCTTCCCGACAGCACAGTCATCTCTAGTTACAGCGCTAGGCCCAAGCCACAGGAATATGAAACGAAGGAATCCGTATTCAGTATGGCACTTAAATGAATTCTCGGGATATTTTCATGCTGCAGCAATTAAGGATTTCAATCTATTGTGAACCTGTTCATTTGATTTGGGAATTCAAATTTCCAAAAATTTTGGACAGTTTAGTTTCTATCTACAATCTGATGTAAAGGTTTGTGATTTTAACTACATCATATAAATGTGTGTGTATATTATTGTATACACAGAAAAAATGAAAAAAGTCAGATATGTCATTTCTACAAGATAAGAACAGTTAATAATTCAATGTGTATCCGTGTATCCTTCCAGACTTTCTCCTATGCAGATCTATAAGAAATGTATTTTCTAAACATGAGGGTATGATATATGTGCTGATCTGGAACTTGTTTTCGTAGTTAACAAAATTTGATTGATATGACTTGGTTCTTTGTCCTTACTCACATCTCATCTCAATCCCTAGGTGTTGAGGTAGGGACCTGTAATTCTCACTTGTAGAGGGCGAGAGGTGATTGGATCATGGGGACAGTTTCCCCCATGCTGTTCTCGTGACAGTGAGTGAGTTCTCACGAGATCTGACAGTTTTATGAGTCTGGCCTTTCCCCTGCTTGTGCTTTTCTCTCTTGT